GCATCACCTCCAGAGAGCGCCTGTTTTCTCCCACGAGTCACAGATCAGATGCTACAATGACAGCAGAAGTCTGGGCAAGTGAAACATATGCCATTCTGGAGTGGCAGGAAAGCTCTAGTGACTCGGATTTGCTCCTTATGGACATCCGAAGCGAGCAGAGCAATCTTCCCACTGCTTCTTACAGTTGTCACTGAGAAAAAAAAACAGTGCATGAAGGTTGGATGGTAGTGGAGAGGCAGAGAAAGCAGGCAAGAAGAAATCTGAAAACGAAAACAAACTCCTCTGTACCTTGCACAGATGGGAGGAAATTTCTCTATAAAGTTCCCATCATCACAGAAACCCCTTCTGCTGTGTAAAGAAGCAATTTACCTTTGAGGGGGAGAGGAAATTCGGCAGAGGAGAGATAAAGCAAGATAAACATAAAGTGTGGATCAAACAGAGAAAAAAACAGAAGGTAAAAAAGTGGAAAAGCACTGATGGGGGAAGCTGGGTGAGAGACAAGTAGGAACTGTTAACTGCTCAAATAAACATTTTATTGCATCCGCACATAAATTTTAAGCATTTTAAACACCGGGGTGACTGCTAAGTAACTCCCTTTGCAAGGAGCAGCTTTGTGGCTAACATCACAAGAATCAGCAATGCCCAATTTTCACTGCCAGCAGATGCGCTGCAGTTATCAGGTGCAGATAAGGTGACAGCATTTGGTCAATGAGTTCTGAGGTCACCAGTAATGCCCCTGGCGGAACAAAAACACAGAACATATGGCATTTCATGGGCTGAAACTGTCAGGCTCGTAATTAACTGATTAGAGTACATATGGTGCTCACAGACAGTGTGAATCTCTCAATGTAAAAAATGCTGGAGACCATTGAACGTGTCAGCATGAGTCTTCCTTGCAAATCTCTCTTCATTAAAGTTTCATACAGAGCCAAGTGTGTTGGAATAAAATCGCTATTAATGGAGTTATATTTATGATGATTTCTCTTTTGTGCAGCTGGATTTAACTTTTCAAACACTAAACTCCACATCAGAGCTTTTTCACAGCAGCTGCGGCATGAACAGAGACTTCTTGTTTTGTCATTAGAAGTAACGGGAGCTCAGGTAGTAAAAGTTAACCAAGATTGGCAAGAATACTGTTCATATCACCAGTACCAAAACATGCCATGATATAAATATGGCTACAATTCTGTTTATTTGAAGCATTTACAGAAGGCTGCCCAGGGACAAACTCCTTCCCTCTTCAGTTCCAAAACACACTTTTAAAGAGATGGTGAGTAACACTTCATCAACCACGTGAAAGAGGCTGACACAGCCCGCTTGCTTTCCCAGCCACCATTTCAGATGGCATTTTTCTTTGCATCTCCCCCTGTCTCACATTCAACACTCTGTAAAGTGCCTTCTCGACCCTCTCCAGCCAGTCTGGCATTGTGGAGCCGCACGTCAGGGTAGGCAGTTCTGGGGAGGATAAAGCAATCATTTTCAGTCCCAGAACAGACTACGTGTTTGCATGTCCATGCGTTAGAGATCCAGCTTTTCTCATTTGTCATCAACACAGGGGATTTTAAAAGTTCCCCATCAGCCTTTCTTTGTCTTCCAGTCCTCTGCCCCACCGGGCTCTGATAGGACTAGTGCTTACGCAGCTTCACTGTGTGTCTGAAGCGATCTGGGATGAAAGCATCCTTCTGTATTTCCGTTTCTGGAAAGGTGCCTGTAATCCATGCGACGTCTGCGATGCCGATGCAGCAGCGCTCCCAGCAGCTGTCCTGCCAGCGAGGGCTGGGCAACGAGGGAGTCAGGCACGACTCGGTGTATCACCTAACTCCATCTTCTTGGCGTAGATTAATAAACTACTCACACGCAACCCTCCAGGGCTTACACACTCCTCTCTCCTTCCCTCTGTTCTTTTTAAATGGCTTCCCACCTCCATTTATACATCAAGCAAAAGACTTATCAGAGACCTCATCTCCCTAATGAGTTAAAAGCTGTTGCCTCAGCCCAAAATCTTCCTAGTCCCATGTGGCTTCCTCCTCTTTCCTGCTGCATTATCACCATCACTCCATCTTCAGCAGAGAGCTTCCTGCCTCACACAGAGCGGCTACTGGAATGGATGGGGAAATCTCCATTTTTAGAGTAAAGAAGAATCCCTGTTAAGAACATCACTTTTCCCCCCTCTCCGGTTTGTTCAGAGGTGGGGCTGCTGGTAACAGATTAGGGCAACCAGAAGAAACAATAAAATAAAAGTATCAAAAAGCTCTCTGCTAGGGAGCACAGAAAGAGATTTTGGTAAATTAAGCACACGGTAGCGAAAAAAAAAAGGAAAAAATCTGTGATGAAAGAAGTCAGGGAGGAGAGACATGGTGCGTGGAGTGAATTTTAAGGTTTAAGAACAAAGCTGAAAGGTAGAAGCTACAAAATGTAACACAAGAGGATGCATTTTCCTTAGAGGCTACACGGGGTTTTTTAAACTCAGGCATGCTCCTGGAGCTCAGCGGTACGTGGAGAGGCAGCGCGCAGGGGCTGCGCAAGGGCTGCTCCTGCAACAACCGCAGGCGATCACAGCGCGCTGAGCTGCCGGAAGCACTGCTCCGCTGGCATAACGGTGGTTACCTGCGGTGGGATGTCCTCTGTTAACTAATCATCTTCATTGTCTTCCACTCCTTCAGCAACTTAGCCTAGCAAAAAGTAATGCTGTCAGGCTGGCCTTTCCAGCTCCGATCCATCACCCTCTTGCTTCGCAGCCTCCCCAGACCCTGCCTGGATCTCATCAGCACAGCCGTGCACGCTGTTGCTTTGCTGCCATGTGCGTGGTGCTCACAGGTGGGCTCTTCTCGCTCCGCTCTGCTACTCTACGAGCTGGGCGAGTGCTGCCCTCCCAGCCCACCCACACCAGGGGCTCCTGGGATGCCCCGACCCCTCTGCCACGTGTAGACTTCAACGTGTTGAAGTTCCCTTTATACTCCCCTCCCCAACCCCCCCATCACAGACTGTTTCTCCCACATCTCCGAAGCAAAGGAGGCTCCAAGGTGTCCCATTCCCACTGTCTCCTCTCTTTGTGAGATGAGTCATGCAGGTGTCAACATCTCTAAAATCTGTGCAGAGGCTCAGCAGAGCTGGGAGGATGCAGAGCATTATGTCAGAAGTTATTAATAGCTGCTATCGACCAGTTCTTTGATCTACAGGCAGTTGATTACAGCTGCTGCTCCTGATGATGAGGTGCCAGGAGTCCAGCCTGTACCTCAGTTTTCCTTTTCAGTTTTCAGATTTTTACTAGAACAAAAAAACTTTCCCTTCAAATTTCAAAATAGATGGCATTCAGCAGTCAACACTGCAGTCAGAAAGGCAAACACAAACAAGTGAAGCGTAAAATTTTACTTTACAAGGGGAATATCAGGTCTTTGAATCCTGCCTCTAGCAAAGTCTTTGAAAGGCTTAAAGGTTGACATCACACAAACCAAACCTCCAGAGAACACAGCTCCTTTCTGAAATTTTCCATGTAGTCCTTAATCCATATCCACGAAAGCAAACCTTTAATTTGTTTTCTATAAATAAAGGGGTGTAACAATTGGTTCCCACACTCTTCCATGCTTTCACCTGAAGAAGAAAAGGTAATTTGCTATTGCCGAAAGACACCATGGACCTTTGACCTATTCAGTGAAACCGCTCAGGAAATCTCCCTCCAACAACCCAGAGCCACTGGTGGAAACCCCTGAGCAAACAGGATAAAATCACCACCTATCACTTTATGCCAGCATCGTCTAATCTGCTCTGTCTGGTGGCAAGCAATACGCTGCTCAAAACACAACACAGAGAAACATTCTGGGACAGACAAATCCAGGCAAATTTCGATTTCATCTGATGTTACCAGCTAACTTCTCGATCAGCTTGCCCCAAATTTCACAGAATTCCTTTTCCGAGAAACAGGGATGGAGTGGATCTGTGCTACGATACTGATCTACACCACGCTACACTGCTCTGCTTGCTAAGGCTTTAAAGGTGATTGGAGCCAGTATTGCCTGACTTCAGTCCCCACTTACCAACACAAGAAAAGAGCATTTTTAAGGATGCCAGAAGCAACAAAGCAGTTTGTGTACAGTGGGACAATCCACTCTATGGCTTGAACACAAACCCCAGGAGCATCAATTTCTACAAGTTTTATTCCATTTGAATTATAGCATCTATAAATCCATATGATGGTGGCACTAGGCATGAAGAAAGGAAAACTCACATACTTATGACAACTGTAAAGCCTACATAATAAAACTGCCAAGCTTTAAGATCACAGACGTATTCCATTTATTTCAGCTCATGACCATAAAGCCCACCCCACTGTGACAACGTACAACAGAGAAGAGGGGAACTATTTGGCAAATGCATGTTAACACTTACCTCATTACAGTCACATTTCAGATTGCAAATTTTCAAAAAGAGAACTAAAAATAATGTAAGAATTCCTTCAATAAATACTTCTATCTTTGGAAAGAAAGTTTTTTCTTAGAGAAAACCTAATAAAAAGTGTTTATAATAGAGTTACTGGTATTCTGGGGCCCAATGCCAAGACGTGAAGAAGTAACAGCAGACACTACTTTACTTCTTCAACCCTAAAGCTCTTACAAACATACACTCGCTCACGCTGTGTACAGGAGAGCCCGTGCGATACAGTGAATCCCTTAGACTAGACCACAGAGAAGACACCACACTCGCTACATTTCGTTACCCTTTTACTCCCCCTTTACACAACCCTTTAACCCACAGGGACCAGCTGTGCTGTACAGCTACGCTCAACGCAAAGCAGACTCCTCACACCCCAGTATGATTATTCCCGGCTTCTGCCAGCTTCAGATGCAGCATAATAACCTGTGAGTCTTCTTGATCTCGGAATTTTGAAATCTGAATTTTGCAAATCCGCCTTCTGTGAGAGCAGATCACATCACTAGGCAATTCAATCTTAAAGGTCTCAACTACTTCACCCCTGGGGTTAGAGCACGATGCTTCTTTATTACCTCCAGCTCGGTGTTGTGAGCATGCAGCTTCTGCACCATCTCCTCGGCCTCCCGCATACGCCGGTTCAGCTGGGGTGAGTGCTCCGAAGGGGTCAGCTCACTGTCGTACGACTCCAGAATTGCTCGCATCCCATCACGCTCCTGTCAAGAAGAACAGAAACCGCCTTTAGGGATAAAGCCCCTGACCTCACTCCAAGGAGAGGGTTCCCAGAACAATATTCTACGTTTTTGCCCACTGTTCTTCTACACGGCACAGAAATCCCGATGGATATACACTCCTCGTCTTCGCATTGGCACCAAGCCACAGACATGAACACACAGTTGTAACAAAATAAATGTTGCTGCTCCGAAAACTGAAAAATTGGACTGTCTAGCATATATAAAAACCACATATCCCTTGCAGGAAAGCAACATGCATATACTCTAACAAGCAGATGGCAACTGAAAACAGAGCCTGCTTTCTTTTTGGAGACACTATTCTAATTCAACATGGCTGAATGGGTTTCTTCCGCAAAATATTTAGTGTAGTACTTGACATTTTTCCTGCCAAAGAGTTCCAGCAAGGAAGGAACAGAATTGTCACAACAGAAATGAAACAGATTTGACAACAAACAAAGTGGCTGAGAGCAAATATCCTCCAAACGGTATGTGACTTATCACTCACTAAACACTACAACATGCAGCATTTATAATAAATATTTTTGCAGAGGTGAATATCTCACAGACAATGTGTTTGGCTCACTTTGCTCTTTGCTGGCAATTATAACCAAGCATTTGCAGAGAAAGACAAAAAGCAGGATCCCCAGCCCCGAGAGCAGCCGCACTCCCAAGTGCAAAGCTTGGGCTGAAAGCTAACGGGAAAACTTTCTGCTTGGGTCCCTTGGAGAATGTCCTGCTGCTTTCCCAACCTCAGGCAGCGCCTAGCGCCTACTTCCAAGGCATTGATGGAAAAGAAGAATGAGAAAGAACGGCTGAAAATTTCAAAAAGTCAGGTGTGTTTTACGGAGATTACCATGCACAGTTCAGTGTGCATACAGGGATTAGCCAGCTGAGGAAGTGTTTTATCTTTGGGCTGCACGGAAGAACCTTGATGTCTGCAAGGCTACAGAACAGGGTCAAAGCAGCACAGGTCCCTGGAGTAAATCCAAAGAGGAAAATGTCTGAGGAAATCTTACAGTGCTGCCTCCCTTTCACGGCAGCAGTTTGCTGCCTCGCTGTGTTACCAAAACGCTCAAGTGCTCTGGACAGACCAGTCATCTCGCGTGAATTCTGCCATCACAAACATCCAAATAATTATTAAAAGATCACTCAGCTTTATAGCCGTGAAGTTCACATCCAGACCAAGCCACTGCCACTACACAGAACCTGGAGCACTCCATAAACCCAGCTTGGCTGCGCAGAAATGCTTTGCTGGGATCCTGCTCTCTCGGGGAAATCAGGAAATGCCAGGGAAGAAAAAGAAGTCCTCTTTCCCCCACCCCGAATGAAAAAGGCTGGATTTCAGATAGTGAAGGTGATGCTAACCACTCACCTGAGCAAACCCGTATATGAAGGTTATCTCCTCCTTCAAAATCTAAAGGTCAAAGATTGAACGTGGATAGCAAGTGTATGTGTGGGGAAGGGAAGGACAATTTGAATTCGAGGTGTGAAAATGAGACGCGGGGCACTGCCAGAGGCAGTGTGTGTTCAGAGCACGGCACGGGCTGAAAGGTGAGCCAAGACGGCTGGGCTGGTCAGCAGGTAAAAGGACCTCAAGACCAAAGGACAGCCTGAGGCTGAAGGAACTGAGTTGATAAAATAATAAAGAAAAACAGGTTTTAACATAAATAGTACTGGAAACTATTACTAGCTCCTTCCTCAGGCCTGATTTGAGACAGATATTTTTCCAAGGAAAGAACAGTTTTGCCATAGTTTAGAAAGAATTATTCATCTGACAGACACACGAAAGGAAATACTTCCCACGTTACCGCAGAAGAAGAAAACCCAAATCCAGCCACCCCACTCCTGCATTATAACGAACTTGCTTAGCAGAAAGGCAGCCGTACAGGATCGCCCCATCCTCCTCCTCCCCCTCCAAGGTACACACACATCACCCAGTCTGCCCAGTGCACTCTCCATAAGGCCAACCGCCTTTGCTCAGGAGACTTTCATTCCCCATTTATTGCAGAACCATCACCTAGAGCACAGACGAGAACGTAATGACAGCGTTTAGCAAAGGTGGTGGCTTGATGCTTGCATGTTGTTGCAATTAGATCCCCAATTACAGCACCCTCTCTATTTCTCTCCTAGCTGCACTGCTACCCTAATTTTCTGCTAAACGTCTTTCATCAATGTGATAATTTAACGCTGCAATGTTCTCTCCATTACAGCAGGGCAGTCCCAAAATTGTTAGCATTTTTCCAACAGCAAACAGGACCCCTGGCAATTCCCATCACACTTGGCTTCCAATTAACGGCTGAATATTAGGTCATTCGAGTCATCCCCAGCAAGATCCCAGCAGTTCCCCCAGCTGTTCAGCGACAAGGGGCACAAACTTCCGTTTTCATGTCAGGATGGGAAAACTGCATGGGAGCAAGACATCCCTACAGGCTGTCTTTCCCCTAAAATCAACTACAGACCTTGCGCTTCAAAGCCTTTCTCTTAAGGGAAGAGTGAACTTCTCAAGGAAAAAAAAGCAATGCACAGTAAATACAGCACAAGCTGTACTGGGGAAAAAAATGATGCTGAAAAGCCGAAATAATGGCGGTACAATTAAACACTTGATCCTGGAGTTTAGTTCTCCTCTTTAATTATTTCTAAATACTAATACTGTAATGAAATCAATTCTCAGCTTCCACCAAGTGGTCCCTAGCTCTATTTTTCAAATTCCTCCCCATCAAGAGCACTTACTGAAAGCTTCTCCCTCCCTCCTAAATATCTTGTTAGTTTGGCAGGAAACCGAAGTTCTTCTTGAGAAGTCCTCTGTCTAAAAAGATTCTCTACAACGTAATCCTAATTTAGTAATTCTTGCAATATTCTCCGCATCCCACACAACAGAATATTCCCCAAGTCCCATCAACAGCCTCCCCAGGGACTTTCAGATGCTCTCTCTAACCTTCTTCCAACATCCCCACTTTCCTGCCTCCTATCAGGAGAGTATTCAGCAGAATTACTAAAAAGCAGTTCCTCCGGAATTTCCAAAATCTACCCAGCACAGGGCATCTCTGCTAACTCACCATGGACCTTACACTGGTGCCCTTCCAGGTGCTCCTCACCTTAACCAGCCTCAAATCAACACCAGAACAGAAACAAGCTTACTTGAAACATGCCCTAAAAGCAGAATAACTGGTTTTGATGTTCATTATAAACCTAGGAAATTAACACCCCACAGCAAACTCTGGTGCTGGATCTTGCAGCTGTGTTTGAGGAGATGGAAGTCTGAAAAAGAGGAAGGATGGCGATTTTTTCAACAGTTTCCCTTCCTTCCGCCAGCAACAGCCAATTCACCAAAAGAATATGCCTCCTACTATTTCATCAGTAACTAAAAAGAAAATACGTTTTCTAATCTTAACCACAAACTAGAGCTAATTCCATGAAACTCTGCTACAGGATGGCACCTTTGCAAAACGTCATCCCTAGGATAAAGCTCCTCTCCAGTCCTCCCACCAGCTCCTCCACTCCCTCCTATGCAAAGCCCAAATTCAGCTCAGATGGTGAGCAGCTCGAAGCTGAGGGAGAGGTTTCATTCCCCAGCATTCACACACCAGAGGGCTACCAGAGCGGTTTAGAGAGAGCAGTGCTGTGAGCGGGCTCCTCCAGGACTTTCGGGTTAATTTTAGTAAGCGACAGGATACCTTATAAATGCCTACAAATATCTGAAGGGTGGGTGTCAGGAGGATGGGGCCAAGCTCTTTTCAGTGGTGCCCATTGACAGGACAAGGGGCAATGGGCACAAACTGAAGCAGAGGAAGTTCCGTCTGAACATGAGGAGGAACTTCTTCTCTCTGAGGGTGACGGAGCACTGGAACAGGCTGCCCAGGGAGGTTGTGGAGTCCCCTTCTGTGGAGATATTCAAGCCCCGCCTGGACAAGGTCCTGTGCAGCCTGCTGTAGGTGACCCTGCTTCGGCAGGAGGGTTGGACTAGATGACCCACAGAGGTCCCTTCCAACCCCGAACATTCGGTGATTCTGTGGCCTGGGAAGTGTTCACGTCAGCACCATCACCCTCATCCCTACCAACAGACCCCACATCACTGGGGCAGCGCTACTGCACATCTCCAAGGGCAGCCAGGGGCTTCAAATCTATGCGTCCTGAGGAGCACGAGAGTGACTCCCAGCTGTGTATCGGAAGCAACTGTGGAATCAAACACAGGCAAAAAAATTTAAAAGGCCATCTGAGCTTATATACACACCTATAAGCTCAGGCCCTGTTCCTGCTTATGCTCATTAGCTCTTCCTCAAACATACATACATACACACAATTCACCACAGACTTCCTAATTAGTTGAAGAAAAGAAAAATCAATAAGAAAGAAATTAAAGTTACAAATCTAACTGAAGTCAGTCACACACCCACGGAAAATTTGTTCCTGGGGTAAAGTTTATCTAGTGTCATAATTTTATTGAAATCCTATATCTTCCTATTGACTTTTATCGTCTCAAGCTGGATGCCAGAGTTATCATTATTAGAGTCTCAGTGTTGCTTGCAGGCCCAAGGTTTGGGTGTTTTTTTTTCCCCCCTTTCATAAACAAGCTGTAATTGTCTGGTTTATTGATCAATAAATCTTTCAGCTGCCTCTCTTCACCCAGCTTCTGTCCTGGTAAGTCTCCTGCGCCTTTCTCTGAAAGAAAATATAGGGTTGTTGTTTTTTAAAGAACAGATTGTTTTGTCATTAGCAATGAAAGAACAGGAATTGTGCCGGTCGGTTCCGATAATGGCTTTTTAATGACAGATTCTAGTCACAGTAAAATCTGCTTTATTTCCACACGAGTGAACTTCAACTATTAATCCACAACCCAAACGCACAGCTCACTTGCTCTCTCCCTTCTGCACAGGTTAGAGCCTGGCAGAGGAGACAGACTTTGTAAAGGGGAATGATAATGATATTTCCCATTTGGTGTTTTTTTGATGGTACAGAAATATTCCTGTTCCTAGCATTAGATG